GAACATCTTTTTTTTGTCTTTGGCTAGAGATGACATTTAAGGTAGTTGCATAATTTTGGAGAGCTATTCCAAAATGCTTAATTGCTATGCCAATAACTGTTTGTTATGTAAAAGGCCGAGTCATTATTCAAGCAGCTTGGCACTAATCATGTTTATCTAGCCTGAAGTACCTTAAATCATTTTCATGCACCTTACAGTTACTTAAGTTTTATCAGGACTGTGTGGTAAAATTTGGAGGGATATTTTTGTGGTTTGGCCAGGAGATCAACTTGGTCTATCTTACCTGCTAGTGTTCTCCTGGTGTCTTAAATTAAAATTTTAGGAAGTAATATTCTTCAAATATACATTAAGTATCATTATTTAATATTCCTAAACCACAAATTCATTTTGGGCCTAACTTATTTACAAGTTGCTTTGGTTTCATTTTGGGCCTAACTTATTTATAAGTTGCTTTGGTTTCCATCTGTGAGTAAAAGTTGTACTGGAGAACAAACAGGTTAGCTTGGAATAATGATGGTGTTTTGTGTTAAACGGGGTAGGGGTGTTTTGTATCAAGCACTTAAAATCACAAAGCTAGGATGATGTTAAACTGTTCCACACCTTTATTCTACCTTGTGCTGATTTAATTGCTGTACTCAAGCCTTTGAGTCAGTTTAAGCCACAGATGACAGGAAACACAGGGAGAAGGCAAGGGCAGATGCGGTATATACTTGAGTAACATTAAGAAAAAAAATAAGGTGTAGCTATCTGAATGTGAAAGCAAGTTTCAAGAAGTGACTGGTTGTGGGTTTGTAGTCATTAGCATTACTGTTCAGTTAATTGCTTTTGGACTCAATAATGAATTTATGTCTGTAAATCCCTAAAATGAAGGCAATTTATCTTCAAAAAAGATATCTGGAAAACCAAAAAAAGAATGTGAGTGGGTAGTTCCTCAGTTGATAAGGTAGTGAAATGAGAGTTTGAAAAAGTAAAATCTTTCTCTGTTCCTCTGCAAAACTTTTCCTTTAATTAACACCTAGATTCCTTGAAGTCATTACATGTCTCCTTAAACTTAGCTATCCAGTCTCCTCTTTTCACTGTTTCTCTCTCTCTCTAGTTAATTGTAAACCAGTCAACTTCATTTCTTTGTCAGGAAGACAGTCTGCATGGACTGTTGGAAGAAGATAGACTTAATATCTGAATTCTCTTAAAGTTATTATGAACTTATGATTTTGGACAAGTATTTTAGCCTTTCTGAATCTATTAAAGGACAGGGAGAGAGGGGGCACCCCAGAAGCCCAAAACCTGCCTGCTCTAAGTGGGTTCTGCCATCTGCCGCGTCAAGACAAAACATATAAAACTTTGGGACTTTAATACAGTGAATATACAATACGGAACACAAAGAATATAACTTCTAAATCAAACACCTGAAGTTACCCCTCCCCTCGTGGGCAAAAGTCAACCCAAAAGGGGTTGGCCCAACGCAAGGCCTGAAAGCCCGCCACAAGACTAAAGCACCTTCTGGCCAGGACCTATGAAAAAGGGTCAGAAATGGCCAGAGAAATCTGGGAGGAAAAGAGCACAATCGAAATCAATATAAACACTGCCATAGTTACCTCCCTACAGGTATCTCACCCACATCTGCCTTAACCAGTCCAGGGTCAGGAAACGAGCACGGCCTCTTCCTCACGTTTGCTGCTCCATGTCTTCCTCAGGTCTCCTCCTCCTTCTTCATCTAGTTTCCTTCTCTTCTTCTCTTCTGATTCCTTCTCTTCTCTCCTTTTTCTCTGCTCAGCTCCACCCTCCTTCTGGGTGGGGGCAGGGAACCTGGAACTTCCCCTTTTCCTAGGGACCACCCTGTTACAAATATTTGCAATGAAATCGATGACCTAATCATAGTAAGAAGCTTAAATAATTAGCAAGGGTGAAATGGTGATCATGGTATATATCATAATTTCTATTAAGTGCTTAATACTATGTTTGTTCCTCTTTTCCCTCTTATTCAATAGTGAATTCTTTTTTTAAACCTTTTGTGTTACTAGTTTATTTTAAAGAAACTTACAACTTGTTCTGAATATGAAATGCCAACACTATAAATGTGTAATCCTTTCAAAAGTTATCCTTGCAGGAAGTAACTCAGAAGATTATAGACATTTCTAAGCCCTATACCAGGTATTTCATTGCTCAACATTAAATTAAACTGACAGACAATATCAAGAGTACTTCAGAGGAAATTATATCATTAAATGTGTAGCTACTTTGTACTTTTCATGTTTTGGCTGCATTTTTTAATAGACTGTATATCAGGTAAAATGTATAAAATACAGCATAGCTACTAAAATGAGACAGACATGCAGGGTCTGTTTTATTTTATTTTGAACTTATGAGCAAATGATGAAGAAAATTTTCTTGAATATTTAAAGGCAGAATATAGTTTACCATTAGATGAAGTGACAATATTCATGATAGAAGCAGATAAGTAAATTTTACAGTTGAGCCATCAGATTATTTTAATCTTAATACCACAGATCAATCAACATAATTGATAATTTATGTTACAGTTAGCTGTGCATTTAGAAGTCATTATATTCTCAATAGGAACTAATAAATTCAGGTTCTAATTCTTTTTTTTTTTTCCCTTACATGGTCGCATCCCAAACATACTACATATAGTGTGTCTTTCTGTGGGCTTACCTTGTGCCTCTAAATTATTAATAATTAAGATATTTTTGGGAACTAATATATATCACCCTCATTTTTGACATTAAATAATAAAATAGATGCATAGTAAAGTAAAGAATAGGATGTTCTGTCCTCAGTCTTGTGACAGGCAGAGAAATGTTAATGTCTTTCTGACCTACAAACTGACTCACTGAAGGACAGAATTTTTAATATGTGTTATCTAGTGTTTTGCATAATGATCTTTTTATTTCATAAGATTATCAGTTTTCTTGTGTTTATCCTGAAAGTGTTGGTGTGGGAATATGTTTTGTGGTGAAGACCATTATCAGAAATGGGAATGGCAGTGTTCAGGCATGGATATTTCCACTCTTCCTTTTTCTGCTTGTGGTATATACTGAGGTTTTATCTTGGTCCTTTACTGCATAGACCTTATTTGACTTCAGAATCCTTTTCAACATGTGGCTTAAGGCAACTACTTGAATCAGTCCTTAGAACAGTTGTTTTTCAGTTTTTACTTACTCTTTTGTAATGAATTAATTTGCATTAGGATTATGAATTTTATGCATAAAAGTTGATAATGTTAAATTTGTGATTCTATAGAAAGACCCAAACCCAAAGTTTCAGTTTATATTGTCAACAGGTTTATTTTCTTATGGTTTAATTGGACATTTACACAATTATGACAGACTCATGTATATTACTGGTGTGAAGGGAATCACGAAGCATGCAAGAAAATTTTGACTAGAAAGACTTAAGGGTGAAGTGGTATGGGACTTTGGAGATAGAGCCTTTAAAGTGATCTTACAAATTTAACAGGGCAAATAATTAAAATATAGGTTGGACATTGAGGAATGACAAGTAATACACTTGATTTGAATATGGATTATTACACCAAAGATAGGGTGGGATCTTTTGGGGTAAGGGGGAAACCCCTCAACCCTGTAGGTTCTTCTCAGATAGTACAAATTATCAAAACAGCATCAGATGGGTTAGCTAAGGAAAATTCAGTTTAATAACGCACATACAGAGCTTTCACATGGCTCTAAATATTACTTTTTAAAAAAAATTTTATGCATACAACAGCTGTGGGGTAGGGGGGGGGGGGGGCTGGAGGGTTGGTGAGAGGATTCACCAGAGACAGTGTGGGAAGCAGAACAGGCAGATCTGCTGAAATACACTCACTGTTGAGGGGAGCAGTGGGAGAGACAGGAGAGATCTGCTGTGCCATATGTGACTCCCCCTGGCAGGGGATCAGACTCAATCCATTGAGGTAGTAGCACTGAGGCTTAACCCCTGGGCCACCAGGTAGACTTGAGACAAATGTTTTAATATTTTTGTCTAATCTTTGTATTCTCATTGCGTGATAGGTCATAACTTATTAACTACACAATTAGAAGGCACTAGTTGTTTCTAGTTTTGTGCTCTTGTGTATGCATTAATAAACTTTTTGTATTTGTTTTGTATTACATTTGAAATAAATTGGAGATATTGCTATTAACGGACTAAACAACTTTATAAAATTATTATTTTTAAAGATTTATTTATTCGTACAGAACTGGAGTACAGGCCAGAGATGTGGAGGGTGAGAGGATTCACCAGAGACAGAGTGGGGAGCAGAATAGGCAGATCGACAAAGTACACTGCTGAGGGGAGCAGCGGGTGGGCGGGTCAGGAGAGGTCTCCTGCACCATGTGATCACCTCCAGGGCAGGCGGGGATTGAACTCATGAGGAAGTGGCTTAAGCTTCTTACTGCTGTGCTTTAACCCGCTGTGCCACCAGGGAGGGCCTATAAAATTATTTTTTAATAAATTCTCATCTGGCCCTAACCCTTCTAACTCTATTAACTGAAGGGAAATTCTTTTGCAATAGTTGACTTAAATAACAACTTATATCTCACCCTTGTTGCTAGAATGTTTGGTATTGTATTCTTTACCTAAATCTTTGCCATGAATTTAATAATGAAAGTTTTTCAGTTTTTATAAGATGATGTGTAAGAAGTTCCCCCCAAATCACATGTTCTTACTTTTAAAGGAAGTAACTCACAAAATGAAAAAATTAATTTGGAATGGAAGTTGGAAGATGTGCTTCAGAAGTTTTTTTTTTTTTAATTCTTGGATTTTGTTGTCATCCATAGTCTAAGCTTATAAAAAGTGTTCATATAAATGCTCTTTATTTTTTCTAATATAAAGTTATGCTAATTAACAACATTTAATATTTATTGAGTTCTGAAGGAATCCTGAGTAATTTTTCAATTTTGTTGCATCTAGTTATGTTATGTAGTAATAAATATAATAACCCTTATTTGCAAATGTTTAAATCTACTTTTTTGTCTCTTCAGATTCTGTCAAATTTTAAGAACAAATGTACCTATCTAATGGAAGAAAAAACACAAATCAAGACATTTTTGGGTTCCAAGTTGCCAAAGTATGGTACAAAATCTGTAAGAAGTACATTGCAGCCAATGCCAAATGGGACACCTGTTAATTTATTGGGAACTTCCAAGAGTAGCAACATCAGAAGTTACATCAAAAATAATGGCTCAGATTGTCCATCTTCCCATACATTTAGTTGGAGAACTGCCAGTAAATACCAACTTAATGCACAAAGTGCTGAAGCACTCAACAATCCTCAGAGTTCACACGATAAAGTAATTGATCTTGAAAAACATGCATCTACTCAAGGAATGTTTGATAAGAATGGGATAAAGGGAGGTTTGAAAAATGTTTCTGTACTTACATCAAAACTAGTGAAGCCATCCACTATGTTTATGTCATCTGCAGAGGAGTTAAACCAAAAGTCTTTATCTGGATCAGCTAATTTGGGTAAATTCACCAAAGGCACCTTATTAGGAAGGACTTCATATTCTTCAGTCAGTGCTCCAAAATCACAGTTGAATGGATTTTATGGAAACCGGCCCGCTGGCAGCATACAAAGGCCTCGAGCGAACTCCTTTGCCACTAGAAGCAGTTCTGGAGAAAGCTTAGCACAATCCCTAGATAACATTAAATCTATTACTTGTGAAAAAATGGTAAGGTCACAAAGTTTTTCACATTCCATTCAGAATTCCTTCCTTCCACCTTCATCTATAACCAGATCACATTCCTTCAACAGAGCTGTAGATCTTACGAAGCCTTATCAGAACCAACAGCTACCTATTAGAGTGCCTCTGAGGTCAAGTATGCTAACACGGAATTCCCGGCAATCAGAAGTACTCAATGGGAACGAGCACTTAAGCTATGGATTTAGTAGGTCTTATGCTGCTGGTGGAAAGAAGTTGGTTTTGCCAAATGGTCCTGCTGTACCTTCATCTTTGGGTTATAGGATGGTTCATCCCTCTCTACTGAAATCTAATCGACCTCCATTTTCTGGAACTATTACTGTTGATAGTAATAAAAATTCACCTGCTGACACATGTGTAGAGGAAGATACTGCACTTTTGGCTAAGGACAATGCTACTGATAAGGACCAAGAACCAATTGAAAATGATAGTTACAGAAAAGGAAATGACCAGACCATGAAGCATGATGCTAAAGTTAAATACCTGAGTGATGATGTGGATGATATTTCCTTATCATCTTTGTCATCTTCTGATAAGAATGATTTAAGTGAAGACTTTAGTGATGATTTTATAGATATAGAAGACTCCAACAGAACTAGAATAACTCCAGAGGAAATTGCTCTCAAAGAAGAAAAGCATGAAAATATACCACCGAAGGATATATTTAATTCCTCCAAAGAAGATGAAAAATCATTAAGTAAAACGGATGAGTGGATAGATATAAGTGTCTCTGGTAAATATGAATAGCCTTATGCTTTACTTTCTCTTACATAATGTAATGGAACCAAAATTTATGATAAATTTCTGATAAAATTCCAAGGTCCTATCAGTTTCTTAGAAGAGGGACTGGGACTGGGGTGTCATTTGTCTTCCTCATGACTTTTGTTCCTTGCCCTGTTTTTCACTCTCTAATAAAATATCAACAAAAATACTCTTCATTCTAAGATGGCATACCTTTTTTTTCTTAGACTGTCATACATTTGCCTGTTCCTACTTGAATCAAATTTGCTTTCTCCTTACCCCCAACCAGTGACATGCCATTTTAAAAACAAATCTTTCCTGTAAGGTAACAAGTTGATCATTGCTGCTTGTTAATAGACTTTACCAAAGGATACATGAGCTATATTAGACTTTGACCACAATAAATTTTTTTTAAGATTTATTTATTTATTCATACAGAACTGGGGTACAGGCCAGAGATGCGGAGGGTGAGAAGACTCACCAGGGACAGAGTGGGGAGCAGAACAGGCAGATGGACGAAGTACACTGCTGAGGGGAGCAGCAGGTGGGCCAGGAGAGGTCCCATGTGGGTCACCTCCAGGGCAGGCGGGGGTTGAACTCATGAGGAAGTGGCTTAAGCTTCTTAGTGCTGTGCTTTAACCTGCTGCACCACCAGGAAGGGTCCACAATAATTTTTTTTAACCCTAGGAAATTTTTGTTTTTTAAAAGACAGATTTCTATTTCTCCTTTAGCAAACTTTTCAGAAGAGCTTTATATTTACTATTTTTTTTTTTTTTAATTTGCGAAAGTAAGACAGCATGTCAAACCTTTTAGATGGTTTTCCTGGCACTAAATGCTGGGTTAAATTACATCTAGGTGTCTATGGAGCTTGGAAACAAGAATAAACTGAAGATAAACTTGGGTAAGCTTGTGGTCTGATCAAGGGGCTAGATCAGGATGCTTAGAGATATGCAAAAGTCCTTGATTGCATAAGGGTCTTCTAATTAGGAATGACTACCTCAGAGAGTTTTTTTCCTAATGAGGCAACTGTGAGGTTAAATAATACAGAGGATGGCGTTCCCTGGCTGGAGGTTAAAAAGAAAGAAAATACAAAAGATTGTGAAGATTTATTTACATATTTATAAATGTAATTGATGGCTTAATGAATTTTCATTATGTCTGTTGGGCAGTAGATTATTCTTTATTGTTTAGAATTTAGAAACTGCTACAGTTATTGCCTTTTTTGTTCAAATTTTGATTATATGACATCAGAGCTTGTATTTTTAGAACTTGAAAGTAATATTTTGTGAATTAATAACTTCCTTCTCTCTCTTTTTAAACAATCAATTGAAGATGGGAGTGAATGTACAAAACATACTTCTGGAAATAACTTGATTTCACCAGACACAGATTATAGAGCTGGTTCTTCATTTGAACTCTCTCCATCTGATAGCTCTGATGGAACATATATGTGGGATGAAGAGGGCTTGGAGCCCATTGGAAACGTCCATCCTGTTGGGAGCTATGAATCCTCTGAAATGAACAGTATAGTATGTATGGATTTATATACCTTTTTGGAACATTTTGTTTACTATATCTTGATTAGATTTTTTAAATTTATGAATTAACTTCTATACTTAGATGTGGGAATTCATGTCTAACAAGGGCCTGATCGTAATACAATGAAATCTGATCTTAAAATATAATAAGTATTTGTGTCACATGACATATACATTGAACATACTTTCACAACATATTCATGCTATTCCTTTATATATTTAGACATATACTTGTGTTATTTAAGCTTTGGTAGGAATTTTCAAAGTGGAGGAAGGTAGTGTCTGGAGACATTTTGGTTGTTAACGTTGAAGGTCTATTGGCAAGTAGTGGGTAAATGCTAGAGATGTTGTTTAAAACTCACTCTACACAGGGCAGCATCCACAATAAAGTACTGCCTGGTCCAAGATGTCAGTAATGCGGTTGAGAAACCTGTGCTACACTATAATGAGGTAGCAGTTAAGCACCACCTCTCAGTGACTTAACACAATCATTGTTTAAATTTTTGCTCTTACAAAGCCTATTGTAGATCTAGAAAAAGCAAGGGTAACTAGTATTTTAAGCTGCTTTCATCTTGGAGTGTCACTAAAGTTGATATGCTTTGGACTGCAAATGGCCCATAGAACTTTAACCCACAGCCGGTTGACCCAGTCTTAAGTACTAAGTGGGTGGAAGTATAATTTTCCTGTGTGCCTAGAAGACGAGGGAAATAGGTCTGTATGAGTACAGGAAGATCTACTATGCATTTTCTATTTGCATATTTTAAGAAACAGTAAGAGTAATGTGGATAACATATGTATAAATTGTTTTGGTTTAAAGTGGATCTTAATTACTCCGTATATAAAGTAGTTTTTCAGTAGTTTAGGGAAATTTGTAGTCTTTGTAGACTACAAATAGATTACCAAATAGATTTCAAGTAGTGTAATTTTCTATGTCCATCTTAACCTGAGACATAGAAAAAAATATGTAACCCTATCAAAAACTTTTTCATAAACATTAAACATACATTTAATTTAGAGATTATATACATATCATTAGATAAAGAGTTCAGGAAAAGAAAAGAGTTTTGGGGTAATGGTGTCCTCCAAACTTTTAAAAGCATACATGAAATGGAAGTGAATGTTATGTCCAGCAGATGGCAGCAATGAGCCATTTAGTACCTAACATTTTTCAGAGATTTATCTCCTTCACTTCCTTTTCCTGCAACTTAATGATAAAATAGCCTTTAAAATAGTTCAGATACACCTGAAAGATTCATAAGATTCCCCTTAGATCAATAGTATTGTGTATACAAAAATGTCATTTTTGTTTTACTGTTGTGGTCTAAGAAGATACTCTGAAACAAGTTGGAAAGTATATTAAAACCTATTGTGATAGTACATTCATTTTTTTTTTTGCTCTAAGGTTTGTCAGTTTTTTTTTTCTTGTTATATATAGAGTACTTGTTAGGTATATGTTTGTTTAGAATTGTCTTCTTGGTGAATTGAACTTTTAGTCATTTTTTTCATTTAGGTTTTTTATTGAAATAAGATTGGTTTACATCATTGCATTTTGCGAATATAGGATACTCCCTTGAGGTGTTGTTACCCTAGCACACCCACTACCATTGTACCCATAGTCTACTACCATCATCCATTGTGTTCCCTTTCTTATTTGTCTTACCCTCTACCTGCCCCACGAGTCACTCTTTAGTGACCTCCTTTATTCCTCATTATACTTTCTGTTTTTTAATGCCTTTTTAAAGACAATAGTATATTTTACTTATATATTTTCTATTCTTTTACTATCAGCCATTTTGATTAATAGCAAGTAGATTATTATTAAAAAGAAATAAAATTTGTCCTTTTAGTAGGACACTTCAATACCCTTAGCTTTGCATTTATTGGTATACATGACATTTACATTGGCCAGCTTTTTCTGTTTTTTAATTTTTTTTCTAAAATAGTTTTTCTAAAATATCATTGACTTAACCCATATTCTTGGTTTATCTATTTTTCTGGGTTTATCCATCACCAAAGGTCTTTCCTAGCCCCATGTGCTTTCCTTGCCCCCACCTTGGTTCTGGGCTTCAGTGCTCCCTCCAGTTCAGCTTAAGAAAAGGTGGCCTTTATGAGAATTTAAGTCAAAACTGTGTCACCATTAACAGCTCACATTGTGGTCATACCAAGCAGTTTTCTTTGAGGAAAGCAGGATCTTGATATAATTGATAGGCACACTCCTTAACTTGCACCCTAACAGTTTGTAGGTGGGCTACTTTGCACAGATACCATTTGTCTATAATCTAGACTGTTTATATACATATATGTTTGTTTAAATATAAATAGTGTTGAGGAATTTCTCTACAATAAAATATACAAATCTTATGTGTACAGCACAGGGAATTTTGGAAATAACTACTTGTTTAACAATTATGCACATTATTATGATACGGGATATTTTTATCGCTCGCAAGTGTTTCCTGTGCTGTTCAACTATTCCCTTAAGTGCTGTCCCCCACCATTCAGCCACTATTCTGATTTCTGTCACTATAGATTTGTTTTGTCTATTCTTGAACTACATATGAGAGTTAAGAATATGCACTCTTTTTTGTCTGACTTCTTTAGTCAGTGCTATGCTTGTTACTTGTGGTTTGTTCATTATTCTTGTTATGTGACATTCCTTTATGCGAATGTAACACAACTTGTCTCATCCTGCTTTTGAGCTTTTAATTTTTTTCCACTTTTTGCGTTTTGCTACTGCTGGGAAGATTTTGTGACATGTTTTTTGGTGAACATTTATGCATTTCTCTGAAAAGCAAAGTAGGAGAAGAATCCATGGGTGATAGGGTATATGTATTTGTTTTCCACAGTAAACAAAATTTGTTTACTGTCAATGCCCATTGGCAGTAAATGAGCATTCCAGAAATTCTACTTTCTAGTCAGTGCTTGTCATCTTTTTCCATTTTGTTCTTCTGATTGAGATAAAATAGTATTGCACTGAGATTTTTGTCTTGTGTTTTTACTTGTTATAAATATATGTAAATATATAAAAATAACATTTTAAGTACTTGTTATAAATATATATAAATACATTTATTTGCCATGAGGATAACCTCTTTTGTACAGTGTCTTCTATTGGGCAGTATGTATCTTGTTATTTAATGTTCATAAAAATCACATATTTTGTGTATAAATCTTTTATATATATTACATGTAGGTGTATATATGTATATGATTATATGCATGGGCTGTTTTTAAATCTCTTTAAAATGTCTTAATGAATAAGAGTTAAATCAGTTTTATTTTGGTAACTTGTTGATTATTCAGTTAATTTTTTTTACTATTTGCACCAGTTTGTGATATTTCCTTGCTTATTAGCACTAGATTAGGCATTATTGAACTTTATTGCTTTCTAGTAATGTTAAAACATCCTTTCCTTGCAGGGAAGGAAATAGTAACTATTAGCTCAGTTTCAGTTTCTTTGAATTTTGGTTTTTTATTCCCCTTTGGGGAAATCAGATTTTTAGCATATCTGTGGGAGCCTACCAAGGCACTTGACCTTCCTGACTACTGACTTACTTGTTTTTTTACAAATTTTTCCTAGCCCCTTCTTTATAATCCCAGGTTTCTAATGAAATACCAACAACTGGATAATTACTGCCTTGAGGCAGGAAGGGATCTTGAAGTGTCTGAGCAACTGTGAGAAGGCCAGGATAGCCTGGACACTAAAGGAGAGGAAGCATAGCAGGAGAGGAGGCTGTCAGCACTGAGCTTTCATGGAACTTAGTGGATTTGGATCTTAATCCTAAACATTGAAGGTGGTTGTTGGAAGATTGAAACTGGGAAGGGATATAATCTGAATTACAGTTTTAAACGTTCTGTGTGATGATTGAGTTCGAGGGGAGCAAGACAGAGTACTGGAAGCTTTTAGTGATGGGATGGTGATGACTTTGCCTAAGATGATGGTACAGTGGAGATTTAGAAGGCTGGTCAGTTTTGGAAATAGTTTTAGATGTATTATTGATGAAGTTCAATGATTTGTTGATAGCGGGGGGAAAAAGGTGTCATCTCTTAACTTTTGGAAGTGAGACTAGTGCAATGGTATAATATTGGAGTGAGACCAGAGTTACGGAGTTGAAAGAATTTTCAGCAACAGAGTGGAGAGGAGAAGAGACATTTCTATTGAGTGTACTGCTGAGAAGAGCAGTGGGCAAGACAGAAGAAGTCACTTGCCCCTAAAAATAATTTGGGACTCCATTTTATGTCGTATTTTTGTGGGCTTTTTCATGATCTGGGTACTCAGTCTCAGCTGCTTCTTACCCACTGGGATCTAAGGTTTGGATCAGTCTTCCCTTAAGGTAGTGACTTGGTTGCTCTGTTTTCATATTCCTTGGAATTCTGATAGCTCTGGGTCATGTGGACCCATAGTATATTTCCCCTAGTGATTTAATTAGTTCCCTTTTCTTGTCTACTTTCTGTCTTCCAGCAGTGTTCTGCTGAGCAAAATGAAGAAACTAAATTTTGAATTTATTAAACATACAAACAACTAGTTGCTTCCATTCTGTTGCTTCTATTCATTCTGTCAAATTTTCCTAAATTTTTAGTCTGACTTGTTATTTTCCTTGGTTTTACCATTCCTTGTCAAATTGAAACTCTGACTCTTTCTTCATGGTCATCTCTAATCAAGTTTACTACCTAAATTTATTAAACATAAAATAGTAATCAAGGTTACTAGTGAGCATGTTCAGTTACTACAAGATGTTTGAATATAGTTAACATTTCATTGTCTCTTTCATTCATTGTTCCTGGGTTTCTGGAGCTCAATAATACACTTACTGAAATGGTTGCTCTGATGACATGCTATTTAATTAAAAATAAGCAAAAGCACTTAAACTTAAAAGGTACTACTCAGTACTGTTCACTTTTTCCATATACATTGTGACCTAACTTATTTACTACCAAGTAAGTTTCTAGGGTACCACGCATCATAATAGCAATGCAAAAGTAAATATGTGACAGGAACATAGACATAATAGTGGAGGGCAGCTTAAAGAAAGTTGTGACAGGCCTAATATAGATAAATGAACATCTCACTGCTATCAACACTTTCATCTTTGTTCTGATATATAATACAAAACTTGAAGGCATAGAAGAGATCAAACTTGATAGTTTTACAGATAAGGGAACAGAGTGAGATGAAAATATAAATTTTTCTTTATTTGCTTTTTTTTGGTCAGATTCTGAATCTTCACATGCATTTAATTATTAGCATAGCTTCTTTTTGACCTGGTAATGTAACTTTCTGTTTGGGAAAAGACTTAGACGAACCATATAGTTGTTATGACCCTTTAAACATATTTTCTTCATTTTTATTATTTCTTGTACGTCAGTCATTTACAATATGAATTCAGGTCATTTATAATTAGACTTCTACTATACCTCAAGTATACTGTGAAGTACTGAATATACTGATATTAATAAAGCTGTTTATATCCTTAATGAGTTAAAAATCTAATATGATAGGCAGGTATATTATAAATTCCTTGTCATAGCGTAGTTTGATAAGTGATATGCATGCTGTAGTTAGTATGTGATATAAACAACACAGGTGTAATTATGTGTGTGAGAGAGAAAGAGACAGATACAGACAGAAGTTACTCTTTTTCCATTTCTAATATCTTGTGGACAACTACTTTGACTATGCAGATATCTTATTATTAACAACTGAGCTACTGTTTTATAGTATAGTGCTTATTTTTTGTAAAGAATTTGCATAGACACATTAGCAGAACCCTGTTCTATTCTCTTGGTCTGTTTTGTGGGGATGCTTCTTTCATAGCTCATCTATTTATTTATTTATTTATTTTTTCATAGCTCATTTAAACTTGGTCATTGTCATCATATCTGTCTATTAGAGATTTCCTTAAACTAGCAACTCAGTCTTTTTTTCCAGGAAGAGAACTGGAAATAAGACAGCAGCGTTTTTTTAAAAAAGATTTATTTATGCATACAAGAACTAAGGTAAAGGCCAGAAGTCTAGGGAAGATGGTGAGAGGATTCACCAGAGACGCAGAATAGGCAGATTGAAATGGCACTGCTGAGGGGGGCAGTGAGACAGGAAAGGTCTGCTGTGCCATGTGGGTAGCGCCCTTGCAGGTGATCTAATTGGAGCTGCGGTGGCTGGTCATAGATAGTTTCATGGTTCTGCAACTTAAGCCATTGTGCCATCAGGGAGGCCCCTACAATAGCATCTTGAAACCAAAATTAAATGAAGAGAGAGTTTGTTCTATTACCCTTTTTAAATCTAGAATTTTTCATATTTTTATTTATTACATCTACCCCCATTGTTTTCTGTTCATTACTTTAACCTTTGTTCATATTTTAAAATTCTGTGTTTTTGAAAAATTTCCTAGAGTTTATTTTTTGGCCTTTTTGATTAAAATTTTAAATAAGGCAATTACATAACTTTATGGAAACCATTCAAACATTTTTAAATCTAGAGAGAATATATAAAATGTATATTTGAAAGTTGCAGATTATTTTGGTGATATTTTCAGAATTTATAATTACATATTTTCTTGGACCTATATTATAACATTTTTCACTGCTTTTGTTAATAGGATATTCTGAATAATCTTGAATCATGTGACCTTGAGGATGATGATCTTATGCTTGATGTGGATCTGCCTGAGGATACACCTCTGGAAAATGGTAAGTGGGGACAATGTTGAGCCTCCAGAGGCATACTGTTGAGCTTCTTGATGATAGTTGATATTTATTATTCGTAGATTTTCTAATATCAGTGGAGGAACCTTTCTCAGAATAAGTCAGTCCTAGATGATATTAAATAGATGTATTTTGCACACTTCCTGGAATGTTTAAAACCCAACTTTGTAGGACTTAGCTATAATTGTGTACAGTCACCAGTAGCTTTGCTGCTTATGTCATTGAAGTACCTGGTAGATGGAATTTGTCTCTTTTCTTTCCCCTCTTGCCTCCTCCTCATTTCCTCTCCAGTATATATCCAGTTCCCCCCGCTCCTCATTTTTATTTATAGCAGGAATATGTTTAGAAAAATGAGTATCACTTGACTTTTAAAGAAGCATTAAAAGTCATCAAATTGATAAATATCTTTCTATACTTTATACTCCCAGTTTCACTTTATGCAGACTTGTAACTGCTGGAGGTGCAGGGGGTGAGAGGGATTCATCAGAGACAGAATGGGAAGCCCCACGGTGAACTGGGTTGCCTGTCTGTGGGTCCTCACCTGCACACTTAAAATTCAATTGCACTGCAGGCACACACCAAAAGGGTCAATAATGGGTTTACTTAACAAAAGGAGAAAGGAAAAGGAACAACCCCTTTCCCTAAGAGAAGGAGAGAGAGAGATACAAGTTATCTAGAACATCCTGCCAGCTCCACTGACTTGGAACTCCAGCAACACACTAATAGCCACCAGGCACACAGTCCAGAGAGCCACGTGGTTCAGAGAGAGAGCTGTCTAAAATGCCTCCCTATATTTCCCCAAAAGTCCCAGAATGCCTGTTTACCTCCGCCCTTGGGTCCTCCCAGTTCTTCCCTTGGTAATGCTGAGAGTTGTAGTTTCCAATCCCCGGAGTAGGGGGTGGAGTCCAGAAAACTAGAGTAGGGGCTAGAGTCCACAGAACTCTGCAGAGTTCCTTCAAGACATTTTTCCCTAACACCTTAACGTTTTTTTTAATTATAGCAGTTTATTTTTACATCATTTTGTACATTTTTTTTCCCATCTCAATTGTAATCCCCGTGAGTTTCCCATCACCAAAATCCTGTGCACTCCCCCCCCCCCAGTTTTTGATCCCATTCCCCACTCCACCCCCCGCAAAATGTCTCTGGTATTAGGTTGTTTATTATTTTTGTTATTTTCTCGCCTGGTCCATTATACTCCTGCTATGATTGAAACCATTTGGTATTTTTCTTTCTCTTTCTGGCTTATCTCACTAGGCATGATCTTTTCCAGCTCCATCCAAGTTGCTGCAAAAAGACATGTGTTTCTCTTTTTGGGTTGCTGAGTAATATTCCATTGCATATATGTACCACATCTTTTTTATCCAGTCATCTACTTTTGGGCATTTGGGCTGCTTCCATGTTTTTCCAATTGTAAATAAAGCAGCAATAAACATGGGACACCTTAACCTTTTTAACTTTGAGTCTAAGGATAAAACCAGAAATTGGATATTGATTCCCTCCTCACTTTGATTACCCCTTTCAGATTCTTCACACTTTTTTTTCCATTTTTTTTCCTGGACTTCCTTCTGATGTTTTAATTAATTTGTGTAGATCCAGGGTTCTGGATTATCAATATCTGAAAAAGATCCAGATTTGGACATCAGAAAAAATGTAGTTGTGACTTGTATCTCAGAATGAGACAAAGTCCTAAAATTGATCTTACAGAAGTTTTTCCTCTTTTGAAGGAAGTAGTTTGTTTAACTTAAGAGCATTGAATTTTTGAGATTCTAGCCAACTTGTGGTGTAACTAAACAATTCAAAAGGAGATTTGGGGGCAGTGAAAAATTGAGGAGAACAGATTGGGGAAGCGGAATACAAAGGGGCTTTAAGTTTGGCTAGCAACTTGGGAAGTATAAAATTGTTTTAATCCCTTCAGTCTTTTCTTTTACCGTGGTTAAGGAATCTCTCAAAGAAACAGCTTTGGAATTTGAATTTCTTTCATCAGATAGTTGGCTATTTGAGATCTTCTGCCTTTAAGATCTTTTCAGGTGAACAGTTTTGTGCTAGGAGAAGCTCAGTTGTATTGCTTTTTATTCTCACTCAGGGACTTCTCATTGACAGTCTTGACCTGTAGGTTAAAAGCTAGCATTTGGCACATTTATGGCATAATCTTCAGTTTTATGAAATGTCCACATTGTAAACCTTATTACAAGTGCTGTTTTCGCTGCTAATTTTGTTTTCAGCTTTTCTGTTAAAAAGATACTTTCTACTTACTTTTTGAATCTCACCTCACCAAATATGGTTATATATGAAGTTGTACTTCATATTATATTTTTGAAGGCTATGTTTTGCTATAAACTTTTCATTGGATATAGTCAACATGAGGTTATTGTGTTGTCCTTAACTATTTTCTAATTATTTTATTTTCTTTTGGAAATTTCTGTTTTTCAGTACTACTCATGTTTAGAATAAAGAAAGTTCATGCTTTTTTTTTTTTAATGTGAGCTTTTCTTCTTTCAAGACAAGTTATAGTGAAAGCTTTCCTGATCAGATTGTAAAATCTGCTGCAAACCTCATTCTTTTCCAGAAATGAAATTTCTTTAAATTTTTAAAAAAGTATATGTAAATGTATAGTTTTCCTCCAAAATTTATTCCTCTGGGGCATTTAAACAAAATTCCAATGTCTTTTAAAATCTTATTAAAATTGTTATGCATTTAGAAGAAATGTTACATCTGATTCAGTATTTATGAGAAGTAAATATCTGTGTTTTATTTTAAATCTGTTTTTGGAGCAGGGAAGTTACTTTTCCCCTGGAATCCTGTAATAAAACACTATTTCAAATTCAAGATTTAGGTTAAGTGAAAACAATCATTTAAATATTGTGTTTTTCCTTAATTGTGGATTATATTAATTTCTAAAGCTTTTTTATTGTAATTCTGAACGTACAGGTTTTTAACTTTGCCGTATAATAACTCAGTCTAGAGAAATCCTTTTTGTTCCTGGCCCTGGTTAATGTTTAGTTGTATTTTTAGCAACAGTCCTAACTCAGTAACTATGTAAGCACTGAAGGAAGATGGAGTCACAGGGTAAACTGGGCTTGCTTCCCACTGGGAGGGCTGGGAGTTGAGCAGGAAGGAAGGCTTGTTTGTCAGTGCCTTGTATGCAACTATGTCTGAGTAGGCAGCCAGCGACACAATGTCTTCCTTGTACAAAGTAACACTCCTAGTGAGTGCTGAGATATGTGAGGAAAAAGTATTTGGGTAAGTGAAAGAGAAGCTTGGGGTATTTCAAAGAGATTCTTTTCGAGTTTTTGTGGCTTTTGGATTTTAGGGAGTGTACTATTTGTTGCTGCTAAGTACTGGCTTTGTTTTCAGTGGCATTTTATACTTTTTGAATAACTCACACTGCAGGCAGGTTGAAGCGTTTTACTTTCTAAATCTGTGAGCTTAATTTAAAAATACAGCTTTGTTTTTGGTGAAAGCTAATTTATGCTTTTTCAAAGTAGTAAAAATTAATTTTGGCGTTCTTTTTTGGAGTAAGTTGTAGACAAGACTTAAAATATTGTACTTTTTCTTATTATTGTCATTCTGAAGTCAGAACCAACTAGTGATGATAAAGACCACTTAAAACTGATGAGTGGTATTTAAAATATGTAATGCTGATATCAGTAATTTGCTTGTTTTAAAACAGTGGGGCTGTTAATTGCTACTTAAATAACTGTAATGTGAGTGTTTTATAATTTACTGCAGTCTGTGTAGTACAAAGTTCATATTTCACTGGAAGAACTAGTTTTTTCCTCCTGAAAACCATGCTTTTGTGATTAGCATAAATATCAGAAATGTCAGAATATTACTTTTACATTCCAACAGCACTTATTGTCAAACTATAAGTAGTTAACTTTTATAGAGTCGAGTACATGTTAAGTAGTGCTTTGTTTTTGAATCTGTGTAGTGGAGTGTGACAATATGAACCGATTTGATCGACCAGACAGAAATGTTCGGCAGTCTCAGGAAGGATTTTGGAAAAGGCCACCCCAGAGGTGGAGTGGACAGGAACATTACCATCTCAGCCATCCTGATCACTATCATCACTATGGAAAAAGTGACTTGAGCAGGTGAGTCTGATTTAGATAATATTTTCTACTCTCTGATTAATGTTCAGTCACAATTCCCTTTATAGACTAACTTTTGGTCTGATTTTTAGAATCATACAGCCACACAGAAAATTTCAAACCATTTCAAGTTGTATGTGCTATTAATTGGAATAAGATGTCAAATTCTATCCTTTTGTCTCTAGTTTTTAAGCTAACTTTATCATAAATCCTTTATACTTGCTACTATTAGATATTATTACTAAATGTTGGCTATTAAAAATTTATGTTTTAAATAATGTGTAAAACTAGTGTCAGGTGCTTTGTCTTCTTTTGCTTAAGTATTAAAAGTTAAAAATTCTTTACTGTTAAAAACAGGAAATTATTCACAGTAATACAATTTCTTTAATTTTCAAAGTATATATGATTTTGTCATCATTCAAACCTGGATACAATCTTTGCTTGGCATAAATTAAGTTTGTGAGCTGAAGTTTTTTTAAGTCCTTTCTATTTTACATACTATAAAACATAGTTAATAATACTTTCTTTTAGTCTTAATTAAGGATCAGGATAAAAGTTCCTGGAGTAGTGTCTGGTTTACTGTTGGTGCACACTCAATAGTAGTAGTTATTTTTTTTCCTTTTACACTAGGGATTTGAGGTTATATTGGAACACATGTGTAATATAAACCGTAAAAGTAGGAAGGAAAAATATGGAAGAGAAAAATGTGCTAAGATAGTTTGAGGTAAGGGAAAAAAAGTTCACTTTAGGATTCTATAGCAAAAGCAAAAAACCAAACTTTATCCATTACAAGATTTACAAAGTACATAAGAAAAAACTATATTTCTCGTCAACTGGTTTGCTTTTATGTGGCAGAAATGGTAAGAGATTGCTTTGCATGAGTTTTTATGAGGACAATACCTAGTGATATAGTGAATAGATTCAGTTTCCCAAAATAAAATGTGATACATGATACATTCTTTTAGTTTGTTTCCTATGTTCTTCAAGGTAATCTAGTCCAAGTGAGAAAAGATAGTTGTACAGTGGGTCATGAAATGAGGAGTCCTAAACAGAGATCCCTCTGTTGATGTAATATAATGGATGCAAAGAATAAAGTTGAGATCTAGAAGAATCATAGAGTACATATCCTTCCAGACATTATTTTGGCTGTTCTCTTTCTCACATCTGTGCTCTTCATAAAGAATGGACATCAGGGATTTGGTATTACCTGATAAGAATCTTAATGTAAAGATAGTCTTAATTGATAATATTGAAGACTTTGTTTTCCTGTTTTTTAACTGTTGGTTATAAGAAGGCAAATCTAAAGCCAACTTGAGAAAATTGAGGACCCTGGCTAAAATATGAACCCTTGCTTATATTTATCCATCCATTTACCAAACATTCATTGAGAATATGTTGCATCCTGTGCTAAATTCTCAGGAGGACATGATTTGAAAATGGTGTGAGAGATGATAGCTATGGGTGGGTAATGACTTATGGGAATTAATATTGCATGTAACAGTAATAATAGATACATGTGCCTCTTCCATTTTACACCAAGATGAGTAGTAGTTAACCTCCTGCTGTCAGTGTACACAACATCTATGGGAAAATTAGGCATATAAATACAATGCAGTATTAGTGCAATGGAGTGGAGTGGAATGTGGTGTCTTAGTGGAGTGAGGTGTACAGGACTGAGAAGCCTAGGATAGTCAAACTGATAAATATGACTATAGAAACTGTAAGAGAAGGATGATATTCAGATGGGAAACATTGACACACACACACAAAAGTAAAACAGTATGGTATTTTCAGAGCACTACTCTAAAGTTGATTATTGGTTTTCTGGTTTGATGGAATGAATAGATATGATTTCTAACTCTCAATAGCAAAACTATCTGTGCATTTTAAGCTAAAAGATAGTAAATCTTTTAGCTTAAAATGCTAAAAGAGTTAGCTACCTGGAAGTAGTTGCCTCTGTTCCTGATCAAGCTGAGGTTTAGATATGTCAGAAAATTTAAGTATTGTTTTCTAGGTTTCAAAAAGATTCTCTGATTAACTGAGTATAAGAATGAAAAACTTAATGTTAAATTACTTTTTTTTTTTAAATTGTGGACTCTACAGTTCTTCTAATATATAAATGTAATGTGATTTTGCAAAAGAATATGTATTCATTTCCTAAAACAAAATAAGCACAGATCACTAAGGAAGTAGTGATTTGTGGATCATCCATACTGGTGATTCTCAGTGAAAAGAAATGCACAAAATTCTTGGTGGTTGCTAATTTGACTCACTCAGTGCAGCTTAACAAATGGGCTGAAGTACCCTGCTTGATTATGAATAGTTTTAAACTGTATCAATACCTTCAGGTTTTGGAGTGGCTGTGGGAAGCTTGGGACTTAGTAACTTCCCTGAATCAGTTAGGAGGATGGCTGGCAGAGAGAAAACTTCATCCAAGATAAACCTTATATCAGCATACCTTAAAACTACAATTTACTCTCTCCAGGGTCTTTTTAAGAGTACATGTGTAAAAGTCCCTACTATTGTATAATTTCTTGATTGTTGATTTCCTTTTTTGTCTGTCCTTCAGCTACCATTATTGTCATAGTTAGGTATAGAATTATGTCTTTCTGTACTTCCAGAGCACTGGTTGTTTATAACTACTGATGAAGTTTTTCTGTATTTCCATCATTATACTGTACTCCTTTCACCTGATCTAACCTTTCATTCCTCTTTGTCCGTAGACCTCCCTCCCCTTTTTTTCTTATACCTTCTACTATGGTGCATTGATATCTTACAAATTTCAAACTAACAAATTCAATCTAATAACAATTTCAATCTAACAAATTCACATCCTTCTTTTCCTGTACATCTGAAACTTAACTCTTTCCTAAACATAGTAATTCCTTAGAAACATTATTACCTGAAGATGTTTATTGTCCACTCACTCTAACACTTTGCTGTTTATAGCTGGAGGGTCTTTATTTTTACTTCATTGCTACTTCTAAATGAAGTATTTTAAAGCCTCTTTACCTTGAAGCTTAGAGCTGTTGATAATATCAACTCTACCTCTCTGTTCCCTATCCCTAGTTCACAAAAATCTTGGCTTGCTTTGTTACAAACTTTGCTACAATCTTGACAAGCTATAGTATTGTTTATATGATTCAGTTAATCATTTCTGCATAGATAGAGGGTTCCTGCATGGATTCTCTCTTACAAGCTCATGTCATCTGAATACAGAGATGTTGTACTATTTTATTTCCCATCTGGATTATTTTTTTTGTTTATTGTCTTGAACAGTTTCTATGGCTTCAGAACCTTCAGTAAAGTGTTGAATAAAAATGGTGAAAACAGGAATCTACATCTTGTTTTGAAAACATTTAGTCTGACACGATTAAGCATGTTGTTAGCTCTGGGCTTTTCATACTCTTCATACCAGGTTGAGGAAATTCCCTTCTATTCATATTTTGTTAGGATTTTATCATGGAAAGGTGTTGGTGTTAAATTTGTCAGGTGTTATTTCTGTGTCTATTGATATATTTTCTCTGTTCTCTTTTAATGTGCTATATATATTGAATGGTTTTCAGAAGTTGAACTAACCTTGCATTTCTTGGTTAAATTCAACCCTATTAATTATGGTAAATAATCCTTTTATGTGTTGTCCGATTTAATTGTGCTAGTATTTTGTGCATGTAATTATAAGAAATATTGGTCTGTAATTTTCTTATGATGTCTTTTTTGTGGTATTTGTCATTTTTACATACATTGAATTGGAAGTATTACATTTTTTGGATGAGTTTGAAGGACTTCATTGAGTGTTTTTGTGAAATTCAATAGTAAAGTTATCTGGGCCTAGACTTTTATTTGTACCAAGTTTTTTGATTACTAGTTAAATCTTCAAGATGCTCGTAGATGTTTGCTAAATTTAATTAGTTTGTCCTGTTGTTCATCTCTTCTATTTTTACTGATCTCCTATTTAGTTTATCTACTAATGAATAAGTGGTATGAAAATAATACATCTTATATGGAAGGTATGCTAGGAATAAATTGGCTAAGCTTTTGGTTATCTGGAATGTCTTCATTTCTTTATTTTGAAGGATAGTTTTGCTATATATAGAATTCTTGGTTATCAGTTTTAGCATTTTTGACTACCATGCTTTCTGATGTATTATCAGTTAATCTTACTGAACATGTTGTCTACCGGATAAACCACATTTTTCTTACTGTGTGAGATTTTCACCTTTTCTCTGATTTTTGACAATTTATTATATGTCTCTTAGTTTACCATATTTTGGAGTTTCTTGATCTAATAATTAGATAGCATTTTCTTACATGCCTTGAACCAATTAGTCATTAACTTTTTACCAGGGAGCTCAATGTGTGTATTCAGGCATGTCTAACAACCTGTTTGCAATTTACAGCTCTGTCTTATTCTTCATTTCTCCCTCATTCAAGGTCAGACAGTGGTGAGCAATTAAGACCTTTTCAGGTATTCTAAGCAAACACATAGCCCAATGTATTTGACCTTCTTTGTGCACGGGAATATGTGGCAAACATTTCAAAACTTTTTGTGGATGTCTCATTCCAACTTCTCACTTGTTCCAGTTGGTATGGTCATCTCAGGCAGGAAAGATTTCGAACAACTGCTGCTGTATTTTTTTTTTTTCTGCCAACAAATATAGTGCTGAATTAGTGCTAAATGGGATTAAAGAAAAATACTCCTAAGAATGAGCTTTTTCTAGGGAGGTGCCAGATAGATCAAAAATTAATATTGCACTGGAAATGGTGTATTTTGGAGAGTTCAAACCCCCACCTCCCACACCATTCCCGTACCTCCCCCCCTTCCCATCCACCATGCCCCCAGTGATTGCTGAATTTTACAGCTACAATGTTTAACATGTAGCTTGTTTTCAAGCTAGGACAGAACAGGGAAGATAGGCATGGACAAGCCACAGAGCTTGTTCACAGTAGGATTTTTCTCATAATAAGCACACTTCAGTTGTTGGAAGCACTTGGTTGACCATTTCCAGTATACTGAAAAAGTTTTCTTGATAATTTGCTAGTGTTCTTTGTACATTTATGGAGAAATATGGAGATCTTTATTCTGTCATTCTGGAAGTACTTCACATCTATAATTTTTTTTTTTGTAATTAATAGACTTTATTTAAAAGACAGTCAGGTATACAGAAATACAGAGCATTTTCACATAGTACCTCACTTTCTCTAATACATATAATTTCTCTTGTTATTAACATCTTGCATTAGCCTAATATTTTTAGAATTGATAAATCAATGTTGATACATAACTGTTAACTAAAAAACACATTCTTTGCTTGCCTATTCAGTTGTTTTTGACAAATGCATAATGACATGTATCTACTGCTGTAGTAGCCTGACAGTCATTTCACTGTCCTTAAAATTTCATGTCCTTTCATCCTTTTCACCTCTACCACTTGTATCACCCATTCCTCACTCCTTAACGCCTGTCCTCACTGTAGTAACTGAGCTTTTCATTGTTCCCATATGGTTGCTTTTTCCCTGAATGCCATATAGTTGAAAACAGAATGTAGCCTTTTCAGACTGACTTCATTGACTTAGCAGTATGTATTTAAGGTTTCTCACTGTCTTTCATAGCTTGGTAGCTAAACTAGTTTCTGTTTACCGCTAGATAATGGTCCATTGTATGGTTGTACTTAGAGTTTGTTTATTCATTTACCTACTGAAGGACTTTTTTAAAAAAAAAAAAAGATTTATTTATGCATATAGAACTGGGGTGCAGGCTTCTTTGTGGGGTGGGAGTGGGGCTTCATAAACTACATTTAAGAAAAATGTGCACTTTGTGCTTTGTTTCCCTTAAACACTAGTCTTTCAGTCATATTCAAAGTTCATACTTTATAGTGCATCTGAAATAAAATACCTATCTCTTTAGTCATGGATGACAGATTCATACTAATTAATCTAGATTCATTATTTAAAATTTAATAATTCAACTAAGATTTAAGACAGTAAAAATAAAGCAGAATTATTTGTGAATTAGTTAACATGTAATCTATAAACCAACTATTTAAAAATTCTTAAGAGTCCTCCCTGGTGGTGCAGTGGTTTGAAGCATAGCACTGTGAAGCTAACCGCAGGCACTTAACTGCAGGCACTCAATCCCTGCCTGGAGAGGTGATGCATGTGACGCTGCAGACCTCTCCTGTCTCACCCACTGCTCCCCTCTGTCTCTGATGAATCCTTTTACCACCCCTGCACATCTGGCCTGTACTACAGTTCTGTATACATAAATAAATCAATTTTAAAAAATTTCTTAAATCTTTGTTAAAAGAAAAATCAGATCTGAAAACAAGTATGATACATAGTTTCAGAGAAGAACAGTCTTGTGATAACCAAGTTAATACTGAATATTTGAAAATTTAAAGGTTTGGTAATCCTTGTTAAAAGCTAGAAAATCCAGTAGAAACCATATTTCTGCTTTTTCAACATGGTTGAAACTTAATGCATTATGACATTTGCAAATTAAATATGACTTTAAATTTGATCCTGACATATTAACATAGCTGTTAAATTGGAGAGAGTACTTTCTCAGTACATGATTTTGAATATTGGAATTTTGCTTATCTATTACATTCTTGTCTTCAGAACCAACTAGAGTGATGTGTAATTCTAATATAGTAATTAAAAATTGTGTAGTTATGAATTCTGGTTAAAACACATTTTACACATCCATGAATCACATAATTCCTAATCCCCGCCTTAGTCAGCATTAATAATTGTGTGAAATTAAAGGGAAATTTAAACTTCTTAACTTAGATTTTTAATTGATTCTAATTTAGTTTAAGATTGGCAATTATGTGGTACATGTAAAACATTTTAAAAGCCTGTTTAATCTTTATTGGTAAAGATGCTTTATCAACATTGTTAAAAATAAAAGAAGAATAGTAATTCATCTGTTTTAATTGTCTTGCTAGAGCTTTCAAGAAATAGGAGTCCAGGGGTAGGTATGTCCAAACTAGGGACAAATGTTGGTATCATAATTATGGGGTTAAAAATACATGTGAAGTTTGAGAGGCCAGTTAGTCAAAAGCTAAGAAAGGAGAATCAGTTCAGGAAAGGAAAATAATTTTTTTCAGGCAAAGGTCTTCCCCAAGAGTTTTTTATTTCTATTCTTGTTCTTAAGGAATAAGGTTTATTCAGCCATTGTATAAAATACAACAATGGGGGGAGTGTAGAAGATAATTATATTAAGCACAGATAGAATTCATCTGACCTTTTGGTGGCTACATGTTATCTGAGGTAAGTAAACGTCAGAGGCTTAGTAATAATGATAAATGTGTTGAATAATCACTGCAGTTATTTCTTTCTGAGATTCTATTACCTATGTTTTTCTTACATCTTCTTCCACTGCCTTACAGAGGGTCTCCTTATAGAGAATCTCCTTTGGGTCATTTTGAAAGCTACGGAGGAACTCCATTTTTCCAGGCTCAGAAGATGTTTATAGATGTACCAGAAAATACGGTGATTCTGGATGAGATGACCCTACGGCACATGGTCCAGGATTGTACTGCTGTAAAAACTCAGTTACTCAAACTGAAACGTTTGCTGCATCAGGTAAATACATAGTGAACATTTTTTAATTCTGATATTATAAATTGTGAAATGGGTTGCTTCTATATTTTAAACAAATTGGATTTTTTAAACAATTGGATTGTTAATGTCTATTTAGATTTCTATAGAAGTAATGCTTATTAAAGGAATTTTTTATGGGAGAATAAAAAATAGGACCACAGCAGGATAGTCTCATTATAGTCACCAGCATTAAATGATACTTGGCAAGACAGTTTCTGTATCTGTTTCCTCACTTTTTTTTTTTTTTTATGCTGGCAGAATTTATTCAAATTTTTTTTTTTTTTGTCCATTTAATGATTTTTTTTTTTGCCTCTACTACTTAAAGAAGCTTTTTCTTAAAATAACCTAATATGAGCTAAGCACTTTTCGTCTTGGTTGAGGTTTTGAGGTTTA